CGTGTCATGCTGTCCTGCACAAGTGAAGCTCTAGCCGCACCATCAGCAGCCAAGGAGATCTCTTGCCACTGCACTGCAGAAGTCAAGGCTTCATCATCAAGTGAGAGGGAAGTTCGCGCCTGACATGGCCTGTCCAAGATGGTCAAGAGTCTGCAGTGGAAGGCAGCAAGTACAAGTGTGTCCTTGGGTTCAAGAGCTGAGATGGGAGTGATGAGCTCGTAGAAGTCAGAAGCAGTCCCTTGCATAGCATCTGGTCCGGGCATCTTGTAGTTCTGGATGTTGACGAGTTCAGCCTGGTAGTCCATGAACCTCAGGAAGTCAGTCACGTTCACGGTGCCAACCAAGTAGGAGTCCAAGTCATGATCCTTGAAGATGCTCCACGCCGAAGGCTTGAGAGGATGAGTGTTGATGGGTAGCTCCTTGATGTTGTTGACGGTGAAGAAGCGAGTGAGCTGAAGATCTCCAACAAAATCGAACATGTGGTTGCAGATGGCTGCCATGGTGTAGATGACCAAGTTCCTGCCATGAAGTTGCTCGAAGATCTCAGGGATCAAGAGCCTGGTGACTACCTCAGAAGGTGGTCTCCATCTCACAGCAGTGTCAGGATGGCCAGTCTCACTCCAGATGAGTCGAAGACCGAACCAGTGAAGTCCCCGACCACAGTGCCAAGAACTCCCCATGTTGCAACCATGGCAGAAGAGGGCCAGAACTCAACCAAGCCGCAGTCAGCGGATGCCAAGTAGTCATCAGACAAGATGGTGTCGTTGAAGTGGTACCGCTTGGAGACGTCAGTGCAGTCAGCCAGAGGTGCTGCTTGCTCGTCCATGAGTTCGCGCCAGCAGTCAGCCAAGGGCCGGTAGACCATGTTGTTCATGAGCACCGTAGAAGGGTTCCCTGACTGGACTGCTCCGAAGCGGTTGTCCACCACTACTCCGCAGTGACACTGGACGTGGACTTGGATGCTCTGATCCACGAAGTGCAGCAAGAACACGCTCCACCTCTCTGCCACCTGGCGTGCCGCTCACTTGCGCAAGTGGTTGGCCATGCGACGTCCGAAGATGCCTCCCACGCGTTCGTAAGCTAGTCTAGCGGCTGTGAAGTGCCTTGGTAGCATGGAGTGGCAGCAAGGGTTCTTCCTGTGGCCAGCGCATGTCTAGGTTGTGACGGCTCTCGTCCGAACCGGAGACGTCGCGAGAGAACCAAGCTCGTTGGCTGCGGTTCAGGGAGAGCAAGGCATGAAGTGAGAAGGAAATTCAACCGAGCCTGGCAGTCCGAAGAGCATGCGCAAGCGTGGCCAGATGGTGAGGGCGGTGTAGGATGGAAGAGACCACAGATGAGAGAAGCACCGAGTAGAAGGCGATGCGCCGTGCCCTGGTGGCTCTTCCACCTTGTTCCTGCGCATGCGTGAACCATGCCGCCAGAAGTTGGCTTCACAGGAACTCAAGGTGCCTTCACGAACCGCTCCTGGAGTGAACTTGCATCGAGTTCGTCGTCCAGCTTGAAGAAGGCTTCAACAGGGAGTGGAGCGTTGTCAACCAAGAACGAAGAACTGGTGGCCTGAGATGTCAGAGAACACCTGTTGCATCATGCCAGAGAAGTCTTCAATGTCCCCACGAGTACGGATGGAGTGGCCCAGTCTAGCAAGCTTGTGCCGGCTGAAGATGACTGGTCCAGTGGCATTTCAGTGAACAGAGCCCAGCCACAGAGTTGACAGAGTTCAGGGCGCGGCCAAGACGAGGACAAGAGGAGGACAAGGCCTGAACACAGAGCCCAGCCACAGAGTTGACAGACGCGGGCAAGAGGAGGACAAGAGGAGGACAGGGCCTGGACACAGAGCCCAGCCACGCAGCCCCGCCACAGAGTTGACAGAGTTCAGGGGCACGGCCAAGAGAAGGACAACAGGAGGGAAGGCCTGGACACAGAGCCCGGCGCTGCCAAAAGGAGGACAAGAGGAGGACAAGGCCTGGACACAGAGCCCAGTTGACAGAGTTCAGGGGCGCGGCCAAGAGGAGGACAAGAGGAGGA